GGTTGTGTCCCGTCCGCTCCGGTCTTCTTCTTCATCGCGGGCATCAGGCAATCGTAATCAGGCCAGGGTTAATTCAGTGGCCCCAGCGTGGTTCAGGACCACACGCTGGGGCCCACAAAAAGTTCATCAGATAATTTAAGGACACAGTCTACAAACCTACCGCATCAACAGAAACCCGACGATATTAGTAAAACAGGAATTAAGCCAACTGATCATAGGACACAATTCAAAATCAACGTTCTGGAGGTTCCAGGGCCACAGTTGCCAAGATTTAACCTCTGTTGAAGTATGCAAATGCATCTAAATGCCGGGGATTAATTTATCGTTGAGCGCAAAACCTAACTTGGTATTAGTAGTGTCAACTCCAAAATTTAGGTTTTCTCTAATTAACAGAGGGGGCTAATTGTGGACCAGCAACAATTAAATGAGCTTCCTCACGCCTAAGTACCCCCAGTTATTAGCACACAACCGAAATTGACTTGTTAGGTCATCACAGAAAACCCATTCTTGACAAAATCGATGAGTTTAAGCTACTATATTAAAATCTGATAGCAGGCAGACACATGGGAAGCCCTTTTACTCAACTGTGAGTTGGTACTAGAGTGGCACAATCCCACTCAAGTGAGTGGTGTTTCGACAGAAGTAGACTAATAGATGTTTCCTAGGAGTTATAAACAAGATCGTATCCTAAATATGGTCAGTAAAAAGATTTTGAGAAGCCATTTCTTCGTTATGCACTCCAACTCACTTCACCAAACTTTGACAGCCATTTCACAATATTTTTTTGCTAAATAAGTTGCTGTAAATTAAGCCGGATGGGTTGAAAGGGGGGGGTTTATCTGAGACGAATGGAGAGTTATCATTGGTTAATTTACAGAAAATGGATTCCCGCAAGAAAGTACCCTTTTAGCTTGATGCAAATTGTTCTTTTTTGGTTTATTGAGTTAAAATGGTGCTGTTGAGTTCAACACTAATTTACCTCATAGATTTGTGCAAGTTAATCCAATTCATTTATGTCGAATACAAAAGACTTCGAGTTAAAGAATCAAGATGACGGGGCGATGGCAACGAGCACTAAAACGTTTGTCTTTCAGTGGATTTGAGCATTTGCAAATGAAGCCTTGAAAATAAAGACCCAACCATCAACGGGCATGTAAGAACCACGATGGTGTTTACGCGATTCACTGTTTTCCCACTTTGGTCAAAGGACAATTCGTGATTTGTGAATGCCATGTGAAAACATGGCTGTAAGTATAAACCACACACATCTAGTTTGTTTCACCATTTAAGCGTTATTTGTGCAGTTACTACTCGCGCGTTTTGCTGTACTTGAGTGTATTTAAACACTTAGATCCACCAATCACAAGTAAAAGACCCCTGGTTTTCATTAACATAGCTTAGAAATGCTACTTCCTTAATATAAATGGACGTAGAAGACGCAAAAGCAGTTAATTCAAGGGAAGAACGACACAGTAGCCAGCAAGGTCGTTTACGCGAGCTCCTACGGTTTGCGTGGGAATTTCGCTTCCATTTCAATCACGACATCAGTGTCACTTAATTTAGCTTACAATCTGGTCCACTGTTTTTTTTTCACCTGTAAAATTCACTATTTGTTGAGTTATAAACAAATTACGAGCTTTGGTTAGTTCAGGTTGGTGCTGCTAATCGATATTTCAGTTTTGTCGCAGGGGCGTTGGCACACCGGTGATTGGCTGGCCAGGCGATCACTAATCAAAGTGTTTGACATGTGCGAAACAGATGAACCCATTATGGCCACTGGAAACATATACCGCCCGGGCTAATTAAAAGTACGCACTTTTCTGTTCAGTAAAGTACTTTTAAATGCATGGTTTTTTGGTGCCAGGATTCTCCAAACACCATTTCTACATTTGGCAGGTATTTTTAGAAGCACACACGATTTTTCGCTGCTTTTGTTTGTTTAAGTTAAAGAATTGTGGCATTCCACCACGTTATTGGGGATCCTGATTCAGAATAACTCTTTTTTCCTCTGTAACAAGTGGGTACTACTGTGTATCTGGGAATTTGGACGTCGATGCAATACTGCGTCGTCTTACTTTACTATCCAACCGCAACTGAGGCAGAGACGACACGACGATGCAAACAGGACGATTTGTTAGGCTTCGATCATGGTTACAGTTATCAGGCTTTCTTGATAACTGATACGCTGATTCTCAAATCGACGTATAGTACAGAGCATTTACTAAAGGACTGCCTGCGTGATTAAGTACTGAATTCTAAAATGTGTACGAATTTTTTGATCAAAGCTTCTGCATTTTCGGTTTTGGTTCCTGCTTCGCGATGTTATGGAGGTTGAAGGACAGAAATTTCGGACAGTTAGGGTGAAGGGGTGAGTTTTCCAGTGTTGATTTTTGCCAGCTAAGCAAATAATGGACACCGGAGTTGGCCCACTGGCAAGCCTAATTAGGGGCTAGGTAAATACGGAGTAGTCGTCATTACCAATTACCTCCCATCGGTGTAACAATATCGGGGCTCATTTGTGTGAAATGCAGTCCAGTGGTCATTACGGACACTGCTTCCTATGTAGCAATAATCTGCAGTAGCCGAACGCGGAAACCTTAGGCAAAACTCTGCACTTGATGGCACAGCTTAGAGTAACAACACAGCATTCCTCCAAACGTCTGATAGATGTTGATAAAAAACTTACAAATGTCAAACAAACGATGGGAAAACGGCTTTTGAGATCATTGGCTGAACGATTTCACGAACCCCATTGCGTCTGTAAACAGTTTGGATGCGGTCTTGTTGTAAACAGTGATTCTGGATTGTTCTTCGGCATCTCTAAGCCCGATCATGTTTGTTTAACCAGTATTCCAGCGAAGCTTGATAAGAAAATCTTGCATGGGGTTCTCATCGTCTCTTTGTCTACAGCCGTTGAGGACTTCCAGTAAATTCTACGCCTTTGACGGTACTTTTACGTCCACATGCAAACAAGAAGCCGCATACCTTAGTCAGCTGTGATAGATGGTTTCAATATCGTTGGACCAATTGGTTCCCGGTCCATACCGCACGGTTCTTAAACATTAACAATACTCTTAACCTGCACGCAAACCAATCAGAACAAAGATTATTTTGCCCAGTAAACTGTTGAGCTCTTGTCGACTTCTTCCTCCTCATCCTCCTCCAGTCGCTCAATCACCGATCAAACTGGAACAGTAGTAGTTGTGTCCTAAAGGTTCTATGCTTCTACGATCGAAACTTGGACATTCCGTGACACCTGAAATAGCCACATCGACAAATCGCGGTTTACACAAACATATGCTCCGATTTCAGGGTATGTTCTCTGGCATTCGGTAATAGCTGTTAGGGTTCTTTATAGCTAACGTTTTTTACAAGATTTACGAAAACCCTTAATCCCACGAGAGAACATAATAAAATGAACTCATTTAATTTAGTGCAATCTTATCGCATTAATTAAAATGAACTCCCATCGCGCAAGTAGACTCTATGACTAAACTTCAGTCAGTTGTTATGCATTTTGTACAGAACATTGAATTTCTGTGGTATGGATACAAGCAGCCAGACCCGTGTTATTTGCAGTCAGACCACACGCAAACTAATGACCTATGGGAGAATACTAGAGGCTATTTTCGTCAATAGGAGTGATGGCCTTAACAAGGGTTGGTTATGTTGCGCAGAGTAATTACCTTAAAATGCACATTTGTGTACGAATGACAGAATTCTGTTTGAAGGATGTTACGTGGCAGGGTCTCAATGTGACATTGTTTGAGTCAATCTAACCTTGGATGAGTCACATCACACACTCCTTCATCAGCGTCACGTCCTTGGCAGTTTTTTGATCATTCCAAGTGGAGACCTAAATAGCTTGTTTACTTGGCAACCTGTACACAATCAAGCCAGTCATTGGTTGTAATCTGACTTCACAAGCTGAAGTGTACAGTTGGCTGGTAGCAAGCGTTTTCGTGTGACTTGCCAAACAGCAGTTTTGAGGTTCGCTATACAAGCAGGCGTCCCTGAAAAACCTCGTGTACCATCGTTTCTGGAACTGCTGGCAGTTAAGGCCTGTAGTTTAGACGCATAGTTCCTACTTCAGCCACTTACGCCACTCATTACGCACCGCATTTACCAAATATTGGCTTAATTCAATGCACAAAACCACTTCTGCCGTAGCAAGCGGCAATTCTAGCCCCAAAATGTTACCATTTGAAAGATTCTAGTGTACGTTCTAGAATATGATAACGCTTGGATTCAGTGATCTGAATGCCTAAACACTGCACTTAAACCTACTACACGTCCTGCAGTTCGCGATTCCACTAGCCGCTTGTCTCCCTAACTTACATCTTAAAAATTTTGCTACGCGATCGAAAATAGCACAGAATTGTCGTTCAGTGGCTACCTAATGCACACGTCCGTTCGCATTAGTTCAATTCTACGGTTTTTATGCAAAATTTAAGACCAAACCGACTTCGTAGCAGCACTATACCGATTCCCCGCCATTCAACAGATCATCGTGGACGGTTTTTTTTTCGATATACACCTAGCGGCTGGCTAGAGGCGTGACTTGATTATCATCTCGGATAAAAGGTGCGCGCTTGCAACTGGCGCCAAGCGCCGATGTAGCCATAAATTTACGCCTGATGTGTGTGTGTGTGTGAGCTGTGCATTACACCACAGTAGTAAACTGCGCGCGAGTACAAACGCAATAGCTAAACAGGCCAGCGCGGTCTGATGGCGTTTGTGGTGCCACTTTAAAACACACACACACGTGGAACAGCCCAGATGTATCCAATCCAACGTTTTTTCCTTTGTGGACGGACTAAGAGCTCGAATTTGAACCGGTCAAACAGAGAGTAGCTCAACTCTTCGGCACCTAAGCACTTACACCCACCGACTGCGGAAAAGGCGCAGCGAGGCTGTAAAAAGACAGTTGATTCTTGTCAGAAAAAATAGTGGCAGCAGAGGCAGCAATAGTGAATATAAATGTGCAATTTGGCGCTTTTTTACTCCGTCTGGAAATGCTGCAACTCCGCGGCAAGTTCAGACCTGATTCGTCGGAAGGAAGGCCTCTCGTTGCGAGTTGGCGACCAACAACGAAGCATCAGTTTGTAGACCGAATGAGGACAGAAGCGTGGCTTCTGTAGGCGCATGTTTTCGCTGACGGCGCGAATAACCTACAGGAGAGACGTCACGTTTGACAAACATCATCACCAAACATCGCTGCGGTGCGTAGGCGTCACCAACTTGTTGCCAAGGTGAAAAAAAGGGGACCCTCCGGGCTGGCGTTGTTTAATGGCGCGTGGGTCGCGTGTGGTGTGAGGGGAGGGACGTTGAATGACACATGGCAGCGCGGTGGTTTGTGCAAAATGTGGGTGTTAGGAGCCATACAGAGATTTGGCGGCCGCTTTGACACACAAACAGCGAAAAGAGGAAGTGAGAAGCCGACAAAACCAGGAAAACTGAACAGCAAGCCTCTCTGATTGGTTACTTTGCACGTACACACAGCAACCCACCTCTGAAACCTCCACGTTGCCGTAAGGCAATCGACCAAAAGTGAACAACTCCCAGACGAGGACGCCAAACGACCAGACGTCCGTGTCCCAGTTGAACCGACCCTCAAGTACAGACTCCATGGGGAGCCAGCGAACCGCCAGTGGGGCTGCACCCTCCCGATCGATGAGGTCAGCGCCACGAAAGTGAGGCAAGCGACGACACATCGCCAAATCAGCCAGCTTCACAACGCCCTTGTCCACTAGGCAGTTTCGCGTAGCCAAGTCCCTTAAAAACGAGACGAAATTACAAATTAGTGAGGCTGGAACAATCGACTTGCTACTTAGTAAACCATTTACACAACTCAGCTCGCCGCTTTACCTGTGCACATATAACCTTGAGTTCAAATAAACCATGGCCTCACAGACGTCGAGAGCGAAGTGAAGCAGTTCGCCTATCGAAAGCGGTCCCGTCTCAAGGTCGTCGCCAGACGAGGCAGTCGAGTCGTCAAGAGCGACGGCGAGATCGTTGGAGGGGGCAGAAGGAATGGCTGAGGCGTCGGCCAGACGGTGGAGGTAGGAGCTCAAGTCCCCATCACGCATGTACTCGTAGATCAAGGAATAGGGTTGCAAGGGAATGCAGATTCCTTGGAAGAAGAAGAAGAAGAAGAGGAAGAAGGAGACGTCACTTGACAACGTGTCTTACAATCATGGCCTCAATCTTGACGCAGCGGTAACACGCGAGGCGATGAGCAATTAAACTAATATTCAAGTCTAGACTGTAGGTCCTTCAGGAGCCAGCATTGTTGATTCGAGCGAATGGCGAAAAGGTGAGGCGGAGAAGGCGACGCACTTAGTCTAGCGGTTAAACAAGTGGGAACGTACTATGTGACGTTCCTGGGACGGCTGTTACCGTGGAGAGAATCACAGAGACTGTAAAAACCCGTGAAACAGTGAGGAAACTTGAAGCTACTGACGTGGGAATGAGTGAAGCCGTGCTGCGATCGGACAAGCTTACCGAGGATTTTCACAATGTTCGGGTGGTTCAACTCGACGAGGAGTTCGGCTTCGCGGAAGAAGGCCGTTTCGGTGGCTGACGAAGCTCCAAACGCCAGGGTCTTGATGACGACGCAGGGTTCACCCACACCAAGTGCTTTATGAAATGGGAATTTCGGAGCTCTGGCCAAGACCACGTTGCCGAAGACGGATTTTGCAAGGATCCGCTCCTCGATCAGCTGATTCCGCGGGTAGGAGAGCTGTTTCAGTCTGGCGGCAAAGAGGTGTAACTAAATGAATGCGTTCTACATACGTCGACTAACACCCCGATTATAATCACTCACTTGGGATGAATCAGCTGGCCGACGGAGGCCAAGCGAAGAGCACTTTCCAGCTGGAATTTCGCGATTCTCGAGCCCGCCGATGATGCTTTGTCGTGCGCCTCGAGTGAGGTCGCCTCCTCGGCGAACGAAGGACACGACGGGCGTGTCGAGGACTTCTCGCTGATCTGCTTCTCAGGGAGATCAGGCGACATCGTGGTGGAATTGAACTCGGGTTCGAGATCGGTGTGTGGCACTGGTGTGAGGTGGGGCTGGTTCTCGGCGTGTTCGAGGACCGCAGCAACGGTCGCGACGGTCTTGTCGACACCCCGGCCACGCAGGAACTCTCGACAATTCTCCACCTCCTCGTCTTCGTCATCCAAGGCCTTCTCAACGCTGAATTGTTGGTCGCCCTTTGATGGAGACGTAGGTGGTTTAAAGCAACTGGTAGTGATAGCAAATAGTGATTGTGTCTAGCTAGGTACTGATACGTCGCAGAATACTTAACGACAAATGCAAGTAGCCGATGGACCAAGTCCGACCAATGACCGTCAAACAGCCAAACACCAGGTGGCATGAAGATGACGTGTGTTTAGGGCAAAGGCAATGAAAATTCGTGAATAAAGTCACATCGAACCAATAGTGAGTCGAGGGCCTTGACAGAGGGCTCTGATTGGCTACGGCAAATTAATCAACCTGCACACAGGATTAATGATATAAATTCCTTATCGATCGGTCTCTCAAGCCGATGATGTACTTATGGTGCGACCTTGAAAGACGGCACATCGAACCAGTCGTTACTCGAGGGCTTTGACAGAGGGCTCTGATTGGCTACAGCAAATTAATCAACCCGCACAAAGGATTAATGATTTGATTTCCTTATCGATCACGCTCTCGAGCCGATGATGCACTTAAGGTGCGACCTTGAAAGACGGCACATTGAGCCAATCGTGACTCGAGGGCCTTAACAGAGGGTTCTGATTGGCTACGACTAATTAATCAACCTGCACAGAGGATTAGTGATTTTATGCAAAAGACATAACAATTTCTAACTGGCACTCAATCGTTGTAAATATTTTCGGTGTTTTTTTACAATCGTACACAACAATTTGGCTGAAAAACTTATTAAACCATGGACTTCTGATGGTCCCAGGCCCGGTCGTTAAGGTCACACATTATGGACTCTTGAGAGAGACAAACACCAAATGACGCGTCTGACGTACTTTGAAATAAGACCAAATAGTTAAAACCAACCTTTGAGAGATCTCCCTCGGTATATTTGCCTGTGCAACAAGACTGGCGCACTCGATTGTCACCGCTGCAGGCGTCCTGGCAGGCGTACAAAAAACGCAAACACCAGCGGCCAAGACAGTGCGTTTCACGAATTCTCGCACGACGTGCCACGAGGAGTGAGTGCCGGCGTTCGTGTTTTTCAGCCTCAGAAGTCGCCGTGTTCTCCCTAGCGTACACATGTCCAATGTACACCAGAATGAGGCAGAGTAGTATGAAGAACAGCGGACACACCGAGCTGCTGATCGCGATCATCTAGGGCAAAAAAACGGAAGTTGCAGCACGCTACTTGCACGATATAAGTAGAAAGTTTTTCTCAGCGGCTCACGTTAACTCGCTGCCGATTCAAGAGACCAACGTGATTGGTGGGTGCGGAGAAAGTGGGCGCAGCACAATCGACCAGAAACGGACAGTAGAAAAGACTCAGGTTGCCTGTGCTGTCAGGACCCACGCAAAATGGCTTAGAGGCGAGGCCGAGGGGATTACGGCAGACAGACTGGTTAGCTGGAAGGCGTCCAAAGGCGCCGGCTGGAAGGACTGAGGGACTGAGGGAGGCCAGTGGATCGATAACGTCGGTTTTGACAAAATCCAGTTCAGCCCAGGGCAGACACGAGGGATGGCCGTGTGATAGCCCACGATAAAGCACACCTTGTCCGGTGTAGCAGTCTAAAATTCGGGAAAAAAACCTGTCCATAAGCATGACGTTCGACTACGTTCCAGACTCGTCTAGACTGTCATGCGGACAAAAAGTTCACCTTTGGAGGAATTGCCAGTGGAACCGGGATCTTCAAGTAAGGCGGAAAAATCGATGGCTTGGCAGACCGACCCGGAGATGGCTAGCACTCGGTTGTCCAAATTATTCCAGACGGAGTTTGCTGAAGTCGCGATGGCCATCCGCGGAAGGTCTTCACAGACGTCGCCAAGGAGGACGGTGGCGTTGCCGGTCTGGGACAGGAGCTCACGCCAACCGTCGCCGTAGGTGGACGTCGAGGTGTAGTTCATCAATGCGGGCGTTCCCGGCGGCGATTTGAACGAGGCTGAGCAGAGAATCGACGCTACTAGGTAGCAGTGCTGTCTAAAACGACCCAAGAAGACAAGTAGAAGATCAGGCATTGGATGTGGCCCATTTACACCACTCAGATACTCAGACGATGGAAAACGGACAGCATATGGACGGCTTACGAGGAGACTGCTTAGCACGAACGATCAAGAGGTCTTGAAAGGGAAGTCAATGTGGAGAAGACGATGATGCAACACGATTCACCACATTGCACTTGTACACCACTTAAATTGCCAAGATCTCGTGTGAAACACAATTAAGAGGAATCCACGTCGCGTGTGACGCGTTTTTCAACTAGATAGGTTGGTTGAAAAATTAAAAAAATCCCCGAAAAACGTGCATTCCAGATCCCACAAAGCTAAAAAATGCTGACACGGATCCAGGCCAGCAAAACAACAGAGACACGTGACGCGAAAGTTGGTTGACTCAAGAGATCAAGGCAGTGATTGCTTCGCGCAACAGACGAGCCGTGAAGCAGTTCAACAACCCACGAATCTGTGGTTCGTTCAAGGCCACTTCCAACCCGGAAAACAGCATTTGGAAGGTTGTCTAGGATCTGCCAACTTGTGAAGGAGATTGGATTGAAGTTGTCTGGGAAATTCCACCTACGACAGACGCTGCAAATCACCAGTTTCACACGACTACTGGGCTTTCGACTCACGCAGAATCTAAGTTAGACACACACACACACACACCACGAACCACCTTCCACGCCATCTTTCGGTGGAAGACACCAACACATCCATGACTAACATTAAGCTATCCTGGAAAGATCGTAGGAAAGATCTTGTGGTCAAGTCGGATTCGTAAGAACGCCCCCCGTTAATAGTGTTCTCGCCGCAGTTAGAATACCCACAGCCAGAAAAGAGCATTTCTGTTGTCTGTTTTGGGGACTGGCACAAAAGTTAGGCGCGATTCTCTACTTCCACATCACTTTCTCACCACGTCGACAACAGGACGTGAGTAACAGCAGTACAAAGCAGCAGAAACATGTCTAGTCACGAGTTGAGGTGACGCGTTTTCCGCTTAGACCGAATGAGGACAGAGGTGGTGGCGGTGGTGGTGGTGGTGGAGGTGATGAGCGTCGTTGAGGTGGGTCCGAATTGCAGACAGAGGGGGAGGGGGAAGGGGAGGGCAGTATCATTTTTCAAGGATGTATCAGAACAAAGCCGCAGGAACGACGCGTCCTCGGGTCTGTGTGTGTGTGTAATGCCGCGAAAACAACACGTACAAAGTAATTACAAGCCGGAGGAGGGGGGGAGGTGTCGACGACTGGCAATTCGGACCCTGGAAAGAGGGGCTCACCGGCGCATTCAAACCGCCAGACCACCGGCCCTAAGCGTGTTCACCAACTCGTGTCTCCTGTGTTGCCGGACCAAAGTCCACAAAAATACGCAGTTTCACAGGTGGCACAGAGGTACTGGCGGATTCTGTGTGTGGAGGCATGATGTCAAAATGTGCAAATGAGGGAGCTCCGGCTGGACGACAAGTACTCCACACACAACAGTCAGAAGTCCCCGCTTGCCACCAAACAACCACCACCAGACAACTTGTTTGACATCTCCACGTGGAGCGAGGTTTGAGGATGACAATTAGCACAGTGAATCGTAGCGTTAGGGTTGCGTAGACAAGCCCCAACCGACCATGCCTGGAAGCAGTGCGCCTGGATAACGCCTTCCAGGGTTTGTGAAGGCAAATCTGTGTGAAATCTCGACTTTTTTCGGCAACCAGCGCCCCCATCAACGGGCCTGGAAACACCAGGACAGGCGAGCAGCCACGAGTGCCTTCACGCAACACACACACACACGGCAACGCTGCGAAAACCACCAACAAACAGTCCAGAGGTGCACCAGCTGTGCGTGCGCACACCCCAAGTCACGTGGCCACAGTGTGTGCGTGCGTGTGTGCGTGTGTGTATCAACCTTGAGTGCACACCGGTCGACTAAGGCCAAAGATGCTGGCCTGTGGTTGACCGCTGCCGAAGCTCAAGGAGCTAGCGCGAAAAGGCCACTGGAAGGAGACCATGTGTGCGCGGCTGTTGGCACGACGCCAGGTATTGATCAGCGCCCGCGGGAAAGCCCAGATCGTGGATATCGATCGCCGAACGCTTCAAAAGATGGCAAGTGGTTTAGGCAAAAGACGGCATTTTTGAATTTGCGCAGATTCTGCGAGGCTTGCAGTTTCATGCAAACTTACTGGCAGACGGGAACTTCACGGATGGAGAGCAGGTTCTCGTCGGCTTCCAGGTAGAATCCTCCAAAGTCCTCGATGTAGGCTTCAACTTCTTGACATCGTGGAAACACCAGGAGACAGACAAGGCGCTTCGCCTGTTGCAGACATCGAGCGTGGGTGCTGTTTGCCAAGGCGCCAGGCGGCAACAGGGTGTCCCAATTGTGGAAGGCGAGGGAAAGGAGTCGGTTCGTGCGCCGGACTCGCAGGAGACGGGAAGTTGAAACCTGGTAGATGCTACCCGTTGGAACTTCAGCTCCAAGCACACCAGAACACACCGAGGTCATGGAAGCAGGAAAGGGCTTACAAGATGGTCTAAAAGCGCACAGTGACGACGTGTCCTACAGCTTGCAAATCACTAGACCAAGTCACTAGTTTCCGCGTCAAACACAATTCTAGCTTAGACCCTCACCTTTCAATTGGGGGATTGAGTTGAGCCTCTTGTTCAGAGCCTACAAAACAAATCATGAAGAGAGGGAGGCGTAAAATGGAGGAAGTGGATCGAATGTCGCTCGGACGTGGGAATCCGACTCACACGAACCCATTCCAGGCCGTGGGATCTGCACCCACAGCAGCACAGTCATCGGTACCTCGAATGAGGCCAAGGTGTGTGTCGGCGGTCACACGAAACACCACTCGCCTCACCCCTCCCTCCCTCCCCCAACCAACCAACCAACTAACCCGGCTCTCGCTCTCTCTCACCTGGACACGTAGTTGGACCGGTTCCCACAAAACCGACCACATTTTCCCAAGAACCGTCGCGTCAGCAGTGTCTGCGACAACGTGTGAGCGATTCAGGTCGATAACCAAATTACTCTTGTCGGAAATTTGATACCAAAGAAGGAGGAATCCTTCTCTACCTTAGACAAGCGCAAACTTCCATCCGCAGTTTACGACTGTTTTAATAATAACTACCACTCAAATGGCAAACATCATTTTAAAAGGGAGTCGAGTCTAAGACCAAAAAAGAGGCTTTTTAACACAGCTAATTGCGATTGTTGTAGCACCTGTGCAGCGAGGACCTCAGCCTAGCTAAATCTTAGTTGTGAATTCAAATCAGACTAATCTACGCGACCAACAAACTAATTTTTTGTCGGGAAAAAGATGAGACTTGCCAGGAGTGACAGTCAGGTACGCGAAGGACTTCTCTTCTCCGGCCGAATTAAAGGCGCGGCATTCAACGGTGGTGTTGTTTACTACTCGCAGATGTCTTCGTGGATAGACCTGCAGTACAACAACGCTGAACGTTAAGCCAGAATCTCACGGGGTGTGCACTTCCACAGCTAGAGTTTAAGGCCCCTACTAGTCGCATGTAGTGCGTCTTAGAGCTGGACTTTTGAAGACATACGTGGACGAAATAGACCTCCGCCAGGTGCCGTTTATTTGAACGTCGTCACTGTCCCATTTGTCCGACTTTCGACAGATCGATAATCAACCCAGCTGAGGCCCCTGTTGTGGATCTCGTTGATCCAGGCTCGTTAATTCGGTCGCCAAAGCCTCCGACACAGGGGTCCCCGTCTCGCAGCACGTCGCCAGCCACGCGGAGCCTCAACGCCTTCCGCATTAGAGCTAACAATTATCCTCACACCTAGGTCCTCATGTTAGCTCATCTGAGGTATAAATACACACGCACAAACGCCACACACGACACCAATCGAGTTGAGGACTGGAGTAGACGGTTGTGACCATGTACTATCCGGTTATTTTCCTCATCGGGGGTAGCAGGTAAACGTAATTGGACCAGGGTTAATTCAGTGGCCCCGGCGTGGTTCAAGACCACATGCTTGGACCCACACAACACCTCAATCATTCGTTGAGCCGACAAGAATAATGTCGCAAAAAGCACAAACGAGAATGATCACCCTAAAGCGCCAATAAGATGTGATTTTTGTCGCTTTGATGTGATTAAATCACCGCACCAGCGTACATCAAGTTGTCTGAGAAGAGGCGGCAGTAGATGCGTGAAATTTACATGAACAGTCACTTCACATGCACAACCAGGCACACGAGGCATTTGAGAATGCACAAAAAAACAGGGAGCATTCTTACCACTCCGTTGACTTTAATTTCAAGCGTCGGTTTAATGCCACCGGCTTCGCAGGGTACAACATAGTGCGTTCCCCAGGCAACCGTTTCATTCCGTAGGCCCCTCACGAGAAAGGCAGGAGCTAAAACAGACGTAAGACGCCTTACCTCCACAGTGCCAATTATTGTGGGATCACAGCCTTCAGCATGGACTGACGTCTTGTGGAACGGATGGATTTACACGGGTCTTTGATAACGAGCATTGAGACAACAGCACAGCTGTGACAGTTCGTCACGCCACCCTCGGATCAAACACAAAAGAAGTGATTTAAAGCTCAAGACTTTTCCCATGGTGGCAAAGCAAAATACCATTGCGATTAACGATTGCTCGTGATGCTTTCGACGTCGGTTCCAACAACCACTGGAGTTAAACTGTGGTGCCATAGTGCCTTGATGCTTTCTGTGTGTATGAATTAAATTACCAATTTGTTAAACGATTCTATTTGTGTTATTATTGTGCTACATGTTTTGCAAGGACATCACTGTTGTTCCCCCGTTCTTATAATGGAAATTTAACATCGGTGATTGGGCTTTGGCATTTGGAATTGTCTAGCATACACGTTAACAGACACAACAAATAGCTAATTGCAAATGTGTCCTGAGCATTATACATGCTCCAAGAAGCAAACCTAGTTATCTCTTTAACTGATTAGGCTAATTTAAAAGTTTAGTCCGCCGTGCGATTGCAGTTGAGAGTGAGAAGGCTGTCGGCTGGATGCTGACGACTGCTACTGGAGATCGAACTTAGTCAACACAGCTGAGTGAGTAAAAGGATACAGTAAGCAAATAATGAACGCGCTTCGTCTCGAGAGCAGTACTTCCTGACGGAAATATGACTCAAAAGGTACACACACTCGCCACTACACATTAACCAAAGCACACACGGGTAAATTTAGTGGTATAGAAACTTACTCATGTACAATAACTAGTCAGCAAAACTAATTGTGGCAAATCACATCGAGACGCGAATACGATATTTCGGAAGTCAGTCTCTGTCGAAAATAATTTAATTAAACACCAAGAGACTTGCGTTTTATCGTTTAATTTACAGTTGTCACGGTCTGTGAAAATTTGCGATGTGGCTTCACTCAGGCAACCAATAAAACCTATGGCGGTATTTCAAAATCGAAGCGCATCGATTATTCCTGAATGACAGTCATCGTCTGACAAAAACAAACACTTCTCTATCAAGATGGGTTGGAAAAATAAGCCGAGCAACAGATCGAAGCCCGTAGACACCTTGGCATTCACTTCCTGGTACTGCTAATACTTGAAGTACTTACTTCGTCAGAAAACGAATTAACTGTAAAACTTACTAACTGGTGATATAATAAAAGACTGCAGGTCCCCGCGAATTTCACTTCCATTCTGCAGTGTAGCGAACCATAAGCAGCCGTAGACGTGGTTCACATCTTCAAGTTGGGCAACAACAGTTAGGGAGCGGTTAGACTCATTCAGCGTCATCAAAGGTGAGCTATCGGGCCCAATAAGGTCGTTGTTTAAGTACCATTCCCACCGCAATTTGATCAAACCCTCAATTTCGGGTGATTCGCATGGACCAAGGGTGATGGTATCGTTGACATTGACTAAAGAGACTGTTCCTGATGAAACAACCAGGACAAGGGAAGCTAGCACCAAAGCGCAAAATTTGAACACCTGAATGGAAAAAGAATCTGATATGTAGAAACTACAAATAAAATGCCTTATTCTTTTTTTTTCAATTTACTAACTTCTGATTATGTACAAACACAACAACAACGAGTCGCAAAGGGAAGGCCAAGCCATCAACTTAGTAACTACTAATTAGCCTAACTTTTGTAGACTAGAAATACGGGAACGTTTGGCTAAAATTCAAGTTAACAATACCAAAAAACCGCAAGCACACAAATGTCTCAGGATTTGAATATAAATAGATGTGAGAAGCGTGGTATAATTCTCCTGTCATTCCAAGAAATTAGCAGGGACACGGAACTTGACAATGCATCCAGTTTAGTTACCTAAAAATACAATCCAATATTTTCGTCAGTGTTGAGAAAGAAAAGTGATTTTAAAGCAATCACAAGTCACACTGCAAAATAAAATTTCCCTATTGATTCGAAAACTTCATGCCTAAGAGACTTTGAGCGCAATGCAATTGCTATAACATTTCATAAAAAAAGCCTAATTATACAAATACCTTAAAAGGCTGAGAACAATAATTAAAAATTCCGTGTTAAGTCGGATAAACATGTGTCAAAAGTTCATCAAAAGAGAATATATACTTCCAAAAAGACCTACGTCAACACCCTTTTCGGCAATGTAGTTGCAACTGAATAGAGACCGTGTGCAAAGATCAGACGTTTGTGTATAGAGCATGCACATTTGAATAAAATCGTTGTGGGCTGTTATGAAGAGTAGTCAAATAGAAGTCCCCGACTCCATGTCGGTGATAAGGGTTCACAAGATTTTGGACACAGCAATATTGTTCAATTTAACAACCAGGTCGAAGTGTATATCTAGAATGTTTTTGCAACCACGATCTTTAAGTGTTACAGTAGAAATAAACCCTAAATGGGTTCCAAAGAAACTGTAATTCGCGGATGTAACTCAAGATGATTGGAAATGATACACACAAACAAGTAAGATGCGAAAAAATGTTTTAAATCGATGACATTGATGAATCAGTCTGAATTATCATAATTACTAATAATATTTTGTAGTGAAGTTGCAATAAGCACTTCTTAATCTTGAAAATATTTTGGATGCTTGCATTTGTCGTTATTGAAATTATTGATTACTATATATTACGTATTACATTTGTTTATTTTATCGAACAGCATTTACTATAATATTTATTAAATTAATCGATTTGATTTAATTAGAGGCTTTCAAAATAGTTTGCTAAAATTAATTTTTCGTGTTTTTATAAATTTTTCATAGCAAGTAGTCATTTATTTTATATCAACACATTCTATAAATTTTTATAGCAAAGAGATGAGTTCATTGTTTGCTTGAAATATATCTAAAGACTATATCATGCATAGTAAGCTTCGTTTGTGCATGTTTTTAGTAAATACAATTCTTTTTTAAATAATTAATTATATCCTATTTATTTCTGTGGCAACAATGATAATGATCTTATGTACCCGTTTTACAAATCACCAGGCATGCAAAAAAATTGGTTGAGGTTAGATTACCATTTTTTTTCACTTAGCACAAACCATACCGCATACGTTTTTAAAGTCATTCACATTTAAATAAAATTTAGTAAGTAGTGTAATAAATCTAGATATGTGCACTGAATTGCACTTTGTTTCACGGCCACTAGATAAGCTTTATTTGCACAGATTTTTGTTACTACATTTGAAGGAGTACCATTGTTTGATAACCCTAAATTTGTATTTGTACTTTCGTGAAAGTATCGTATGGTCTGCTCTGTTTAAATTTCCTTACATATTTCTTCTATTTTCTTGAACTCCTTACACTGTTTGTATTCACTGATTCGAGCGAGTTGAAATCCCACAGACCAATCACTGTGTAGTTACTTAACAGGATTGAGTCCGATAACTAAAAACGAAAATTAAAAAAAATTAATATTTGTTCTACATTTCTTGGAATGGTTAGGATATAGAATGATTTTGATCTAGTTGTACATTGATTTCTCACCCATTCAACAGACAAATAGCATTGTATTTAATTCATATTCGGTTTACAGGTTGTTTTTTTCCAGCTATTTTAATGATTGAATTTGATGCCTTAGGGAATAATGGGATCCAAGTCATAATACCTAAGACCTAATGCCACGTCTAACGCGGGGACAATTCTGTCCAGTTTTTGAACTACCGTTAGGTCTTTACGAGTTGATCTCCTTCCAATAACTTAGTCACCTCATACTCGATCATGTTAAACCGTCAATTCATGCTCTACATTGCATTCCTCCACCCCGCTGCTCAATCCAGTCATTTGCTCTTTCTGCCTACTTTAATTTCACTATTTTACATATACTGTATTAACAAGGAGACCCTATTTGTCGGATGACCTCTAGTGCACGGGATGCGACACGCAGCTAGGTTTAGCCATCTTATTCTTCTCTGGTATCCACTAACGTAATCATGCTAGTACAACATGACAGCCAATATTCAGCATGCAAAAAATTTGTGGATTACTAATTTTCACTCGTAGTTTATTGTGTACACGTGTAGTAAGTTATTAAAAATTTATAAAAACGCAGGATTCTTAGTCATTGCATGATTTAAACAAACTACAGCAATAGCTCAGAAGACAGAGAGGCGTAAAATCAATATTAGGCAGAAGGAGTCGAGGAAAATGCGATTTAGTTCTGCATACAACGTCAAAGTTTTAAGCAACAAAAGCGAACTCTTTTGAGCATTAATTTCAGCAGCATACTTGTGTGGTGTAGTGTATGGTATATGCGAGGGAGCTACTAGCACGTGGATAAGTGCATTACTGCATTCAAATATGTACTTAGCTTAATGCACCTCAAGATGCCCGAAATATCTTTTTATTCAACCAACATTTATCCTTTTTTATAAATAAACACTTCTTTGCTAAGTCGCGTTTGAAATTTAACATTTGAATTTATCGAAATGCATACATATATTACTGAAAACAGCCAGACATATTTCTAGGTTTAGATTTCTATTTTTTCCTAGTTATTATTGATTAATGCGCCAATTCTTTTGATAGCGGGATATCGAACCACTTAAACAAAATCTATGCTTTTGAAAATTTGCCCTCAGAACTTGCTTTGAATTCTTAAAGATGCATTTACCGGACAAATTTTCAAGAGCTTCAGGAAGGATGACTGTCCAGTTGACTAGGCTAATGGTGCGTTTAACGGTAGTTGCGCAGTTGCCACATTTAGCATTTTGGCTAAATGCACGACTACCGTCAAAATACTCCACAAGTGTGCCTTACGTAAAGGGCTGTGAAGTCATTTTAACTTACCCAGACCCCGACTCCCATTCTAATTATTATTTAGGCAATTTGTGTGAAAAAGCAAATTGTGTTTTAATTTGCATCTATGAATGACCTTTTTATGCAACTCTTTAATCGCAGTTTTATCACCATTCTGATCATCAGACTGAAGGAGTGGTCGCTGTTCATTGGCTACAACTAGACGCATTTGTCACATGTCCAGTCATTAACGAAAACGATCACACGCCCACGGATGCTTTTGAGGTAGTACTCTTCGCAATTAAAATGCTATTTTAGTCATAGAAAAGCACTCCGATTCGCGTGATGGTTCTGGGTAATCAACATTCTAAGATGTTTCTATATTAATAACATTGTAGAGCGCTGTTCGGAGCTGATTGTTATTCCGACAAGTTAGTGAAATGCGTCTGCACTGTTCGTTGGTGTTGGTCGTGATAGTTACTGGCATAACTCCTGAACGGAGTTTACAAAAAGTTGAAGTAGTAAATTGACGTATTTTTCAAAGCCAGTCATTTGTTTAAATCTTTTATCTTACCCTGCCACTATTTTTGACCGCTCACCTGCAAAAGTAAACTGCTGAGGTATGTTTTACTCGGTGTAATAACTTAAGCCACCTGATCCACGCACATTCGAAATATTTTTTTTTTCACTTCAAACCCTACGCCACACCTGCCCGTATCCAATTCACATAAATCGTGTTAACTAACAGTGGATTTTTGTGCGTCGCATACTGACAATTACCGTTGTTTAAATCGCAGTTGGATTCTCCGTATATTTTGAACTGGTGTCAAGATTGATTTACAATTATGCTTCTGCAGACATTAATTAGAAATTTTCATACAGCAGATATTAAATGTCATTTTGTTGACAAGTTCCCTTTTCCCAATCAACACTGAACATTTTGGCACAATTAATGCGAACATTTTAAAAACATTCCTCATTCGCATAACATTTGAAAATAAATAGGACAAAGTTTAAATGATTTCGTCCCAACAGTTCATATTTTAAATTTTTGCATTGGGAGTTTCCCGTACAAACTTTGTTCTATTTATTTGCAATTTTTAGTAATAATTCGGCTTCAGTTGTACGCTGGCCATTCGCTATAATGCTTAATATCTGAAAAGGTTAACTGACCAATAAAATAATCGTTAAAAATGATGATTAATATCTACAATGCTGAGTTGCAGCGGGAAAGCCTAATAGCCATAACCCGAACAAAATGCTGAGAGTTATATTTTTCTGCGCAATCAAAATGGAATAAAATTTGCTTTCACATATTAAATCCACTATTTTAAATGAGTAATTGTCTTTTTGGAAAACTGTCTACATTTACCTAAAATGCGCTACTTATTTGCTTGATTTAGTAGTTAGGAATGGCTCAAACCGTGCTGGTTGTGAGATTTTAAATGTTGGCACACATGCTCCCAATCCCTGGTACAGTTGTAGCATGAGCCTTAGAAACAAAGCTAATCTCTTGTTTCAGAAAACTATGTTCTTCACGTCCTATTTGATAATTAAGAGTAGAAGGATTAACAAAATTACCGATCTACTGATTAAGTAATGAATTGACAACGTGTAAAAAGCACAATTACATTAGATTTACTGACTGACAATTCATGGATTACTGCAGTTCATTAGACTGGCGAATCTGCGGATTTTGTGTCGTCTTTTTCCAAGAGCTAGTCTGTTTTTGTGGTGATTGGGTGCTGACTCACTAGAGGTTGGTGTCCTGGGGCTTGGAGAATAATTAG